GGTTAAAGAAAGAATATGAATATTCTAAATAAAATAAAATAGTTCAGTCTAAATAAATGTGCCTCTCAAGTTTCAATAAATATTTACTTCAGTATCTCGATGTTTACGGTTCTGAGAAGTTGACAATTTAAAGAGATGCAAAAGCAATTACTTGTTGCACGAAAATCTGACTTTATTATTTTATTAAAAGGTATTGCTTTTTATTTTATCAGAACAAAATTAAATCAAGCAATCTTTCCCATATTTTTTTCAGTCGTACCAAAGACCGTGAACCCTCAGCTGACAGTTACGGGCATTTGCTTTGTAGCTCCCAGCCACCGAATGCCGCTAGAGCGCCAGGCCTGCCACGAGGGGCCTTTGCTACCTTAGTGCATTTAATTCTTTCAGCAACCGTCTTATGTAAATATTACTGTGCTCATATTAGAGAAGAGGAGAGAGAAGTTCAGAGAGCTTAGGAGTTTGTTGGAGAGGGGCTCTCTAAGAAAATAAACCCAGGACTACGAACATAAAAGGAGGGGCGAGGAATACGAAGCCCCTGAAACCTGAGGGGCTTTGAAGTTTAAGCTTCATGAGCTTTATGGCAAATTTATCTCTGATTCCACCTAATATTCATATATTAAACTTGTAGGTATGTAATCAAAAGCTACTGCCTATTGGCTATTTTTCCCCCATAACCAGTGACTATTCCTTGAGGGTCAGGACTACATTTTAAAGTCTTCTTAGCACCTTGCAGGGCTCCTTTTATGAAGTAGCTATGTGCATATAAACCTCTAATTTATTTGGTATTCTCTAGATTATAGAAATTAGGAAGAAGAAACTCTCAGATACACTGTATTTTTCACTTTATAACAGAGAGCTGTTTGCTGACCACAACTCAGTCCCCTTTCTTTAGGGACAGAAATCCAAATTTCCTTTGGTCAACTTTCAGCCCATCCTTTGACAGGTGTCTTGTGTGATGCTGACTCTACCTTTGGCTCCAACCATGGGAAATGACTGGCTCATCGCAAGTGAACATACTCTACCCCTGTTAAGCAGCACCAATGACACACAAGGAGACATTTTTGGGATTTCTAGGAAAGAAAATTTTTTCTGTCTTCCATGAGCGTGACTTTGGTGAGATTCTCTCCCTTCCTTTGGGTTGTATGATGTGAGGTGTGGTACCGAGGCACTCATTTTACTACTATACTGTGCAGAAGTTCTAACTGATGACATAGAATTTCATGAAGCCAGTGTAATGGGGGCGTATAAAGATGAAAAATTTTTTATTTCTTTTACGACTGTGTATTTTATTTATTGTATATTTCACAGCTGCTTAATTTTTAATACTTTTTTATGCTTTTTTATTCTTTAGAACATAAAAATTGTTTGGGGCTTCAAATATTGTTAACTGTAACAAATTCTAGAATTATTCACCACTAGAAATTATTCCATGGGTCCCAATCTTTGTTTAGGAACAACTTCTTTTGCTCTTAGAGATTTTTTAGAAGGTTCCTGATTAATAATACCATTTAGATATTCAAATTCTTGCTTGAGCTTTTGAAGATTAACAAACTCTCTATTAAAAATTTCATTTGTAGTATTGATTATACCTACAAGAATTTCATGTGCTTCTTAGTGGTCATGTCATTACAATAATATTTCATTATTAGTAGTTTGTCCTTCCAATTATATTATTATACTTCAAATGCCATTTTCCTAGTAGGTGTATAATATGATATATTTTCATACATTAAAATCTTGTTTATTAAGGATTTTTATACAGGACAGTTTTGAGTTTCTAGCCCATTTGTAAGAAGTTCCTATTAAGAAATTCAATGAAGCATGGGAACAATGCAAGAGTAATTTATTAACACATCAGGAGGCTTTAATTTGCTAACATTTTCCTATCATGTTAGTCTGACAGAATATAAAGAACAAATTACTAAAGCATGGAACACAGCAGGACTGAAAAAAAAGCTATCTATCTTTTAAGAGCTCATGGGTTCAAATGTTCACAACATGAAGGACTCCAGGCTTGTGAAAGTATAGTTAGTATTCACGCTGCCTTGTCTGTTTACCTCTTCTACTTATTTAACATTATCTAAAATCAGGAGAGCACATGTGAATTACAAAGGGAAATGTTCTGCCAAAAGGAACACAGATTAAATGAATCAGCATTAAAAACCTGAAGAATGTTTACATATTCCAGTTACTTTAGAAACAGTGATTTCCTCACATTTAGTTTATGTCATCTTTTCTATATGGATATACTAAAAATCTATAATTACTAGCAAATATTCTACCATATGCCTTCTCTTATCCATATGAATCATAATGAAGGCTATATTTTCTTTGGTTGGGACAGTGTTGCAAGAACACTGGAGTCCCATGTCTTCGAGTAGTTAAGTACAAATTCTCCAATTCGGTACAGTCCCCACTACACTGACTTCAGATATGCTGGCCTCAGATTTCTGCGAACTACTTGAGTTTTCATCTCAGCTTGGGACCGGTCTCTTCCCAAGAAGGGCTGTGACTAGGTCTGTTTTATTAACTCCCGTACACCCTTCCACCTAGTACAAGCTTGACGTATATGAAGTGTGTGATAAACATTTGTTGACTGAAAGAATGAATAAATAAACAGAGGAAGTAAAGGAAACTTAACTGAGAAGCTTCCTATCCCCACAATATTCCAGTTGATTTCAAAGAAAAAGGCCTTCTTTCCCTGTTTTTAGAGTAATCTGAAAAAAAAAAAAAATCTAACGTAGCCATAGTGGCAGTCAGCTTTTGAGGTTTTAATACCGTGTGTGTATCATGCTACTTGAGAATCTACAATAAATTGTATCATATGTATATTTTATAGTGATTAGTACGTAACAGTCATTTGAATAATGCTAAATAAAACATATACGTACGAGATTGTGTTAAAGAACTAGTTTGGCAGTTTTTATCCTCACACTTATGAGTTAGTTTGGTTTTGTTTTATACCCAAAGATCACACTGCAACTTTGGCAAGTCGTGTCAAAAGTGCATACCTTCAAACATTAAAATCCTAATATGAATAAACAGTATGTATTTGTTATCAATATTTGAAAGACAATTCAAAATATATAACTTCTATCAATGATTTACATCATTTTTAAACATACAGTGCTAGCTAATATTGATATGCTAAGCACTATCCCAAGTTCTTTACACATTTTTTTTTTAGTTCTTTACACTTATTAACTCAACAAATCCTCACAGACCCATTATTATTGTCCCTATTTTACAGGTGAAGAAATTGAGGCAAAGAGAAAATTAACCTTGTCTAAGACCCTGAAGCCAGGAAGTGGCATAATTAGGATTTGAACCCAGGCCGTCTAGCTCCGGAGTTCTCGTTCCTAACCACTACTCACCGCCTCTCATGTAGTTCTCTCTATATAATATTGGACCTTATTATTTAACTTTGCAGAGATTGGTTTTATGATTCAGATACTTTATAACTAGATTTGCTCCTGGAGGGCAGGCCCCATGAACTACAACCCTTCCATCTACCTGCCCTGAATAATTACTTGTCCATGATAAATGATGCAAGATTTTTGTTTGGTTCATTTGAATTGGAAAAATTACTGCATTTGAAAACCATATTGGAATTCAGTTGCTAGTACTTTGTTTTCTCCCAGATGTGGGACTCTCAGGTGTGGGCTAACCTCTTAGGTCCCTTTTGTACCTATAATATCATAACTAAAATTAGCAATGAGCTAGCAACGGAGATTTGACAAGGAAGTCACATAAAATAACAGAACTAGAGAGTGAATGACAGATAAGAATATGCAAATATTAGTACACAGGCTTCAAAACGGGCTGAGAAATATTCCATGTGTAATAATCATAGCTAATAATCACGAAGTGCTTCAATGTGCTAAGAACCATGTCACATTCTTTTAAATGCACATGTCATTTGATCTCTGCAACTGTGTGGCTTAGGAAAGTAGTGCTGTTCTCCTATTACAAATGTGGAAACCCGGGCTAAGGGAAAGTGAGTTCAGGTCACACAGCTAGTAAGCGGTGGAATACAAAACTTCAACTTAGGTAGGTCTAGTTTTCAAAGGTAAGAAAGCAGGCAAGAGAAGGTGTGCTGATTAAAAACCATCTGTGGGATCACTTTTAAATTGGCTGCAATGCTTATGCTACCTTGGTTCATGAGCTCCTCAGCCCTCCCCCCACCCAAACCAAACATATACACATATATATGCCTTGTAACCAGCTGTGGAATGCTAAAGCAGGCCACCAAGTATGATAGAAAAGAGAACGGAATTCAGAGTGAATGGCAGCTGAGGCTTAAAATGGCTAAAGTATACAAACTTAACGGTCTGGCTCTGACATCGGCTTAGGCTATAGAGAAGCTTTTTGGGGGCTTAGCTCCTAGTCTTCCACTGCACTTCCAATAATTGAGTATTCCACTTAAGTTTCCTCTGGACAAATGAGGTGAACTAAACACAAATTTGCTTTTTATTCTTATCCCCCATTATGTTTTTTTTTTTCTCGCCAGTTTTTGGGCCAAATCTCTCTTGTATCTTAACAGATCTGTGATGAACTATTGTGTCCTACTTTCTTTTCACTAGGATGTTCCCCTACATAGTGTCTGTGTGTATGTGCATTATGGTCAAGATTACATGTCTTATCACCTAAGAAATATATCACAGAAATAATTTGCAACCATACTTTGTTCTAATTTCAGGTTTTTTACCTTGACCTTTAAAACCAAAGATATATGAGCAACCTCCCCTTACATTTGCTCTTTCTCAAATATGTATTGCATTTTGCCTATGCTAATACTAATTTATCTTCTTGTAGCTTAAAACCTATGCTAAGAATTGATGAGATTTAGATGTTGACCACAAAAGGAGAAGATTCAGGTTTACTTTCTTACAAACATTAACTGGATATATATATTGGATATACTGGAGATATATCTGGTAGAAATGCTTTTAGAATAAAGTTTTATGAAGAAAACTGACTTCTATATATTTGAAAGTTACCTTTGATAGATCTCTGAAGTTTCCTGGAAGAGTCAAATCCAATTCTTCTGATTCATAGTTTGTTAATACCCATGGAAACACGGGATATTGGTTCAGGTCATTATATGTCCGTCCTAGTACAGAAAAAGAGAAATGAAAATCTGTATATGCACTAATTGATTATGAAATTGTTCTTGTTCTTATATAAGGAAACTATTGGATTTCAGAAAAGAGTAACTCGTTTATTGAACTATGTCTTTGTTTAATCAAAAGCACTCAACAATGCATTTCAAGTGAATTCACTCAATAATAATTAAGACATGAGTAACTAGAATTACTTTCTAGAATATAAGCTTGTGGTAGAAACTGAGAGCCGTTTATCATAATTCATTTCTCTTCTTGGGCTAGACCACACTTCTCAACCTTCCCTATAAGCAGCTGTGGGCATGGTACTCAGTTCTAATCGACAGAACCTGAGCAGAAGTGATATGTCCCACATCCAGTCCTGACCTAACCTGCCGCATGGGTGCCTCCCTTCTCCATCGCTTTTCTGCTGGTTCTGATGAAGATATTACTGGCACCTGAAAAGCAGAGCTTCATTGGTGAAGACCCCCGAAAGTGATCATTGATGAGGGATGAGGGATTGATGACGGATCCTGCCAACCCCTAAAAGTGGTCATGGATGAGGGATCCTGCCCATCTGTACACTTGCAGGTTATGTGATTATCACTACTACAGTGATCATATATCTAGAAATTATATTGCCAGTGTACAGAATACTATATTGAGCTTATATCAAGAATTACCAAAACAAGAATAACTTGAGAATGTACAAGTTAACAGGAGTCCTCTGAAGCCAGCAGGAAAAAGTTCAGAGGCAGATGTCTTCCACATCTTTTTCACTCCTTTAGGTTCATGCATTTTCTTTTCGTGTTATGTTGTTTCTCTTTGGTGGAGAGCTGCTGCACCTTAGGGTAGGTTTGCTGTTTATTTTCTGATAGAATGACTTAAGAGGCTCAGGTGGGCTATCGAAGCACAGTGGGAAGGTAAAAAGTTTAGGGAACGTACAGCACTGGCTCACCCTCATAAACTGGTACTGAAATAACACAGGAGAAGATGAAATGCTGTTGGACAAATCTTGTTGGGCAAGATTTTTTTTTTTTTTTTTGCAAAAATATGTTATAATCTGATCATGGGTAACTTTCTAAATTTCCATTTGAATTCACACAAAAGAGTGATTTCCCCAGTATTTAGTGATACGGATTTCATCTAGAATGCTTTAGTGCACACATCCCACAGAGCGTAAGAGTGATATAGATATGCACACATGATCTCGTTTGGCATTGAAGAATTGTCATTAAATGATACCTACTTTTTGTAGCAATTGGTATATGTGGTTGTGAAACAGAAAAAAACCCAACCCTGATCCAAGGGAGAACTAAATCTGCTATTACAAGCATTAGATCAAATTCATTCATTTCATAAACATCTGACCAGGTGAATATTATATCTGTTAATGATACGAATCTCTGCATTTTACAACAAAATGATATATTATTTCAAATGTGTAAATTGATGGAGGTAAGGGGTAGAAAGCAGGATGTTGCTTCCACTTTGCACTCCCTGGAATGAGGTGAGAGGCAGGTTAGGTTCCCCTTTGTTCTCCCACGCCAGCACTCAGAGGACGTGGGTTGCCGCTAATACACATCGTTGTTTACTTGTCTGCTTCCCCATCACTCTGTAAACACGTGAATGTAAAATCTAGGGTTTTGCTTCGTTTTTAATCTCAAACATACCGTCTGCCAATAAATGTTTGTTGAAGGAATGAATAGAGAGGTGATAAAAATGGGATAAGATGAACCAAATTTTAGGTAAACAAATAGCCAAGTGAAAAAGGAAAATTGCAGGATAGTCTCTGGCGGATGAGGACTACGTAAGGGCAGAGCAGTACAGATGAGAGAGAATGACACTGCGAACATGCATGTTAAGCTAGAAGGAAATGTCTGCGGCTAGATGGCTCAGCCAATGAATGCACCTGTTCTATGTTTATAAGTCGACTGTGAAGAATCAGACTGATAAGAACAAACACAAATTCGGAGCCTTTATTAACGTCTCGTGCACGAGAATGTTCTGCTAAAGTAGGGTCACTGTAGAGTACGAGGTGTAAAATTCTAAAATTTGAAATGTATTACTGATAGCTCACGTATATGTCAGTCTAAGACACTTGATGACTCTCAGTATTTTTCCTATATAGGTATATATACAGAAAGTGCAGATTGGCTAGGCAGAGCTATTTCTGGGATTCAAACTGGGCCCAAAGCATTTTTAGGGTCCTGTCGTTTTCTGGGTTGCCATTCTACTTAAAAAATCTGTAGGTTTCAATGAAAAATAGGGCTTCAAGTAAATAAGTGTATTTTTATAGAATAATGTTGCTGTTATTTCTGTAACACATATTACTTATATAAATAAAATTAGATACCGTAATTGTTTTTAAATTTTCTGATAAGGTTTTATTCCATACATACTAAGGAAAAAAACTGTCAAAATAAAATAAATACAAAGCCCGTTTATATTGACTTAGTACTTAAATGTATCATGTAAATACAAACATCATAAAAATAGAGACCATATTTGAAGACACCAGCTTTTTAATAGAAATGACTTTCTAATATAGGTATTTCTGGAAAACATGCAGAGAAAGAAACCTTCATCTTTAAAACATACACACAAAATTGATTGATGACCACAGTTATAGCTTATGACAATTGCTCTGTCCTACATTTTTTGTAATTCACTTTTAATAATCTATGGAAGGTTCCTTCAAAATAAATTCTAACAAAAATTCAGCAATTTTTAAATTACTAAAGCTGATAGCACCATTTAAATTCTAATACAAGAAATTTTATAAATCAATGTGCTTACATATAGTCAAAGCTCTTTAAATAAAAAATTTTCACATAAAAGCTTTACTGTATGGATAGTCAATATAAATTTTTTTAATTTAAATTAAAAATGCACAATGTATTTAAAAATCACATGGATGAAAAAGAATAAATGGGACTTTGGGATTTTTCATTCATGAATTAGCATTATTACTTAATTATTTTACTGAACAGCTTTGTGAAACGAACAAAAAAAGTGACTGTTTACTAAATTAGCAAACAAAGTGAAGTATTTCCAAAGTAATACCTGTTACTTGGAGGTACCTATTTATCAACTGTTCTGTTTTTTGTTTTTTATGTTTTGTGTGGTTTTTTTAAGGATAATTGAAGTTTAGTAAATAACCTTGTGCTGTAATTGATAGGGTTCTTTCCTTTTCCAGCAGTGGTAAGTGATGATTTTTTTTTTTTTTTTACTAACTATGCTTATAAGGTTTTATCTTAGAAGATGAATATTAAATATTGCAAGCCTATGACACTAATCTACTCAAACAATAAAAGTGAAGCACAGTAAATGAGATCTCAGAAACACTGGATATGTTTCTTCATTTAAAAAAAAACTTTTTAATTAAACCATGCAATTTAATGTTTTTATATGGCACTTTAGTTTTGAAGGTAAAGTGATCTAGAGACAGCTGACAAAGAAATTATAACTGCAATTCCTTGGTGAAAATGTTAATGACAGCAAAATATTGTTTAATTAGATGATTGCAGCATCTGGATTAACACTCTTTAAGAGTGATGTTCCTGTGCTTGTCTGCTTCTTCACACTTTACAGACATTTTGTCATCTCTAGGTCATTAGGAAAGAATTTTTAATGATTTTTCTAGAAGCAAGCAGTTCAAGTTACATCTAATTAGATGACAATAATAAGCCCAACACATGCAGTAGCTAAATATATACATAATTAACCAGGGAGGGCTTGTACATCACAGAGTAAAAAAGTGGAAAATGCTAAACAGGAGAAAAAGGTTGGGGTTGGGGAAGTTGTGCTGAATTCATTAGCTGATCATATGAAACACAACTCAAATACCTTAAAAAAAATTCTTAGACCTAACAGAATCATTTATACAAAGCTATGTTAGCAGTCACTCTACTTCCTTAAATGCAAGAATGCCAGATTTTAACGTCTTGTTCATGGTAGTATCTAATAAGGTATAAAATGAGGCATAGGTTGTATCTTTCAGAACACAATGAACAGAAATCGAGTCAATGCCAGGAATTAGAGGTTGAAGCCTATTTTTATTCGAACTCTAAGCATCATTAAAATTCTTCTACATGTAAAAAAAAAAAAGAAAGAAAAGAAAAAAATTCTTCTACATAAATCTTCCAAAACTTAAGTTCTTTGAAAATAAAAAAAGCATGGGTTTCAAAAATAGTTACATAAATTATACCAGAGTCCTGAGCTAGACTTTCATGTAGTTTTAAAAATCATGTCTTCCAAGAATATTTAATGAAATAAAAAAAGAAGAATCTGAACTTGTATGTGTAGCAGGTTCCCAATGAGACAGCACACATGGAAAAAGAAAAAGGAGGAAAACCACTAACATCGTGAAATGGGATGTATACACTGCTAGGCTTATGAGTGAGTTAATTTTTTAATTACTCTTTCCCATATTTCCAATTTTCTATATTGAGTATTTATTAAATTTGTAAGTAGAACAAACTGAAGGCCATGAAAACACATGTGGGCTTTCAGGTGCCTTTTAGAAAGAGTATGTTTTCTGAATTTTTGATAAACTTCTTTTACTACGTAAAGTATTTTTAACAAAACTCACCTATATATAATAAAATGTGTGTTTATTTATATGCAATTATGTATATTGTATATAAATAAACATGAGGGTCTAAAAAAATCTAACAATGCATTAATACTAAGACACTGCTGCTATATGCTTTATACAGAGTTTCTTTTTTAAAAGCATCTAGAAAGGAGAACAGCAAAATTGGCCGAGTATGACAGACCTCAAAAAAATGGAGAACAAGAAATGGGGCATAAATGTACTTTGTATTTCATGTTAAAATAATATTCTGGAGAAAAAAGGTAAGTCTGAGAGTGTAATACAGGAACCAAATTTTTTTTTACAGAAAATGTAGATTTACTAAGTCACATTAGCCTGTAGTTTTAAAAATGTGAAGCCAAGAAAGATTGTTTCATCTTTCTAGATTCCCATTCTGTAACCCTTCTCTTTAAT